AATAATCAACCATGACATGTAAGTCTAAATTATTATTTATTACCACTCAAAAGGTGGGAAAGTTTCCTTAAAAAAAAAAAAAGATAAAAACTTATTTTTAGCATCTCGTCTTATCAAATTTGAAGGTTTTATAGGTTTTAATTCATCACTTATTAAAATTGAAAAAAATAGTTCTTACTTTATAATGACTGTTAACCTTGTTAGTTAAAAGTATGTTTTATCAATTAACAGTCAACTAATAATCAATTAACAGAATTAACGAAATATTATAAAGTTAGTTCTGTTAACTCTATTAGTTGAAAGATGATTTTTGTAAAATAACAGTCAATTAATAGTCCATTAATAAAGTTAATAGTCAACTAACATAATTAACAAAATGTTACGAAGAGAAGGCTATTTTCTTCAATTTTAATAGGTAAAGGGTTAAAAGTGTTATAATATAAGGTGATGGACTAAAACTTATAAATCTAGTAAGGTGATGAGCTAAAAATGTCATAATATAAAATAAGAAGTTAAAATCTTCAAACTTGATAAGGTGAGGGATTAAAAGTAGACTTTTGCCCAAAAAAAAAAGGTAGGAAAGTTTTAAGAGCAAAGTTTTTTTATATAAGAAACAATTTAGAGTTGTACTAGTTTTTAATTTAGTTAATTAAATTATATTGTATAATTATAGAATAAAAATGAAATAAGAAAAGGATAATTAATACAATTAATATTATAATATAATAATTTTAAAAAATATTACACTACAAAAATAAGAAGAGTAAAACAAGAAAGGAAAAAGAAAATATTAGTACTCATTTTAATTTAACACATTTATCAACACTCACTGGTTCAATTATTAAATTCTATAATTTAAATTTTTTCATATCTTGAATTCAAATTTGAAAATAATAATTTCTTAATAAATATGTTGGACAGTATGTTGAATCAATGAAAGTTTCAAAATACAATTTTTATGCAAAATACAATTTGTAAACAATTTGTTAAATATATGTTTATTTTATCAAAAAATTCAAAAAAATATTTACAAAAAATAAAAAATAAAGAAATTATATTATTTAATTAATTTATTTTACAATTGGATGGATCAGTCGATTTGAAAATCAAATTATAAATCAAACTAATTATATCAATTTTAATAGTTTATAATCCAAATTAATTTAAATGATATGGCTTATATTAAATTTTAATCAAATTAGATCGTTTTAGTTAGATCAATTAATTTAAATCGGATATGAATAGCCTTAAGTGTGGTTATAAACACCCCTCCTAATATTAAAATCATTAAAAATTATAAAATGTTATCTTTAAAAATATT